AATCCTTTTAAGTCATAAAATTGAGTGGTCTCAATTGAGACGTAAAGAGTGGAAGCTTGTCCTGCCGGACCCGAAATGTATGTGTGTGTAAAATTTTATAGCAATCTCAATCTAATGTACCTAAAATACTGTCCAACATGCTTTTTCGTTGTTTTATTCGAATACTTCGCTTCCCCTATAGAACCTGTCTTTAATTTGCGCTACCAAATGCAAATAAAATCATAACCAAATATCAAATGATTAGGGCTTCAAACAAAAAGAGACAAACTATTAAGCTTTACAATATTAAAAATGAAAAGGTATACAAAAATATAGACATACAATTCTAACGTAAATAATATAGAAGAAACAGGCTCGAACCAACGTACAGCAAAGAAATAGTACAGTGTACTTATTCAACTAAAGTGCCCTTTATGGAATCTATCGAAATCAAACTAAACTATATGTTATATACAGTCCTTACCGCTACATTGATTTTCTCGCTGGAAATAACATTAATTCTCGCACTTAACAAAAAAAAAACTATATTGCACTATGAAACAGTTTCACATAAGTAAATACAACTAGGAACAAATAAGTGGCCTTGTTTAAACGTAACAATTTCTACCAAGCTACTTTTGACTATAATAAAATATAGTTATAAGAAAAACTAAATAAAATTGGCTAGTGCGTTATAAATATGAAAATATTCTTTAAGTTACTCTACATTAACATACCAAATTTCATCCGATTCCCTACAGTACAAAATCATAAAATACTGGCTTTTTCCTGCGAGATCGTCCATGTAAATATTAGCCTATGTTTTTAAAATCGGTCGAGTACTTACGGAGCCTATTTCTTACAAATCAAACAACAATAAAATATTTCCTTTTTACATTATCAATATAGTACAGTACTTTCACCAGTACAGATTTTTTTAATTTTATTTTAAGTAGTGTTTTATTAAATGTAAGGTACAATGTAATTTAACTAAACCTATGAAAATAATTTCTTTATTTATGAAAAATTAATTGCCTTTCAAGTAAAGTATGGATAAGACAATTCTTTAGTCTGTTTTAAAGATACACTTCAATAGCTACGAGTAGATCTATGAGTGGCGTACTCTCTGAGCATGCGAACAACAAGGGCACAAATGTATAAGTCCCATAAATAAAAGGAACCCTTCAAAGTTCCGCAAACAAAAGAAACTCCTTTTGCAGTGGGGACTATCTTGTGACAACCTATGAAATACGCAAAAAATGACGTATTTACCGACATATAATACACGAATAGGTTAATGTACCCAATGAATTCTAACACCTACTATTTACTACATATTATCAGAGACGATAGTTCAGAGGAAGCTATAAGTAATATTACACAAATATTTAATTCAAATAAAATTATAGCTTTACTAATATTATAAAGACGAAAGATTTGATTGTTTGTTTGTATTGAAATGCTTCGAAACTACTGGACCCAGTTTTATTAGGAAGCTACATCATACGCGGATGATATAGGTTATTTACGAAGGGGAAGTCACGAGAAAATAGTAATAAAACTAACAAAGATAATGACTATCCGTACAAGAGTTTTCTCCTCCAACAACGACAACATACCCTACGTAAAATCCGTTGCATGGCTATAATAATAGAAGTGGAAACTCCTACAAAGGGAATAACTGAAGTCGAAAGCCATTTTAATTTAAACGACTCAGTAATAATAAAGTTACTTCTATAATTCAACAATATTCGGCTAAACGGTATCAAGGTGTCACCATCTCAGAAATCCCGAATTCAATTCCCATCAATGAAAATGTACTGTGGGTATTGTAAAACCTTAGTTTTTTCAGAGTTTCAAAACACAAGTACTTTAACACTTAAGATCTTAGCAATGAAGTGATCTATCTATTTAATCATATTCTTTTTCAATTAATATATTATGTGACTCGCTTTGATTTATTTTACTTTCATATTGTTCTTTTTTGAGGTCACAGTACACTTATACGGCAAGGCTCAAATCCGGCGATTTACTTGCTATTAGTCAATATATAAAAGTGAATGACAGCTATCACACAGTCAACTTCAAACTTTTTTATATTGACGTTATATAATGTATTTAATGAGATACTATTAAACTGTCAAATTTAGATGACAACTTAATTCCTGGGTTGGAGCCGTGCCGTTTGTTTAGGTGTACTATGAGCTTTATTCCGTGCAATACGGCATTGACTGTCTACACCTGTCTTACTGACAAGCAAAATGTGGCGCGCAAAGGGGAAATCTGGTTATTCTTAGGGTTAGACGTGCTTTTAAGATTATGATTTATAAACTTTAATTATTATATTAATATTATAAAATATATTACTAATAAAGTTATTTCTGCTTGAAACAAGTAAAGGGTGGTGTTAATGCTAAATTTTTCTACAGGTATGGTGATCGAAAATCCGATTTTATTCTCGTACAAATTAGTTTGACTTAAGCACTTTATAAGTCAGCAATAATTTGCGATATTCTTTTTCGCATAGTATAGTTTTAAATTACGATCAATTTAATTAATGTTAATAATTAACAAATTATTGAAAAATATCTGTATTATTTTAATGTATCACAAATGAGTATACTTTGCACAGAAAAAATCCTAGCTTATAGTAAAAACCGCTTCGAATTTTATTGCGGTGCTTGGAGAAGTTGTAAGAAGGGGGTAATACAGACGTAGGTAATAGTCATTTGTACAACTTGAAACCTCTCTTATGAAATTTTCGGGGTGAAACTTTAACTGTACCCAAATTTATACACCTCCGGTATTTGAATTTGGCTACAGTTAAAGTTTATATAGAGAATAAGTACAAAATGCTAATATTGTTTATATACTTAAAAATAAATAAAAATATACACAATACTCTCATAAAAAATACCCAAAAATACCATGCGATTGACACTTTTGTCAATGAATATCATACCTTTACCATACCATATCTTATTTTGATAATAAAACCTTAACAATAATTAAACTTTATAGTCGAATTTCCTCAACTGTTGCATCAATTGCGTAAGTATTAAATCATGTCACTAGTGAACTTCTTTCTACTAAAATTGGAAATAACAATAAGAAATATAATAAGTAAAGATATTGTTTCATTAGTAGTAAAGCTCCCTCCTCAGGTTATGAATATCGATAAATACTTTGATTTATGTGGTATGCTGCGCCAAATGCCGTCGTGCTACCTTACCAAAGCTCTGTTAAATGTTATGGGGACGGAAATACTGTATTTTACTTAAAGATACCAAGTCGAGTCTTCACCGTGGGCGGGCGTGGGCTTTGAAAAGAATGCAAAGAATGGAATACACCTTTATAGTATGTAAGACCTTTATAGATTAAGTATACATACTATTCCGATTAATTAATTTAATCACATAGTAAGTATATCAAAATAAGTAGGAAACTCTGTAAAATATACAAAATTTATTCAGTGTAAAAATAACAATAATACACATCAACATCCACTGTAAGTATTAGTCTATCTCTTGATTTGTAATCATCAAATGTTATTCGTTACCTTGTTATTTTGATTTCTATACTATATTAATCAAATTGAAGATTTTAGTATCTTTTTTGTTTCAAATTGATATCAAAATTTCAAAAACATTCCTGTGAAATCTCATGTAAACCACACAAAATAAAGGCGTATAAAATAAACAGGCGTTTGGGATGAATGAACTTACGAACTGAGACGTAAGCCTCCAAGTGAAATGAAGTGTGTAACCGGAGACAGTTCGCAATGACGAGTTTCTTCGGGAATAGACATGATTTATAAGGTCATGAATACCTTTTGTACTTGTATTTTTTTTAGTGGTCGTTGCCTAGAGCTTACAAAATTGATTCACGTTGTATTTAATATTGACACATGGAGTCTAATCACGTCGTTATAATAAGTATAAAATTCTTTACGAGAAATATTTTATGAAATAAACAACACGTGGGTTGTGAATTATAATGACTAACGTTGACTCGGTTGCTGGTTATAAAATTAAACTGACTTGAAGCATCTCAGACGAGATTACTCTACAAATATAATATCCGTCATGTCGTTGCCTTGAGAACTTATTGAGTACATATTATAGCCCTATTGGCTATAATATGTGATAAGTAGATATAAATTTATTTACAAGCCCTATTTTTTTATATTGTCAAAAAGCTCTTTTTTTAATATTTTATGTATTTCTTAGAATCTATAAATCTAATTTTGCGAAGAGACCATATCTACCTGTAGATATTTTGTTATTCCATTTACGTTATTTATTTTATTTATCATCCAATACAGTCTATAAATAAGTTCTTTATAGAATAAAAAAAAACATTATCTAAAAATCTATGACTGAATCGTTGATTCCACAGTTAACAAATACTAAATCTGCATACAAAAATAAAAGCTAAACAAAATATTTTGTTACAAAACAATACGACTGATGAATGAACTTTGCTTTAATATGCGTCACGACAGTCACTACCAACAATACATACAATGAAAATACGGATGACATGTGAACACTACAAACAAAATCAGCATGGAGACGGTCCCTAGAGGACCAGAGTCATGCAGGGCTGGGGCTGGGTTCTGCCAGCAACACGTACGTGGGCGTGCGGCGAGGTGATCGCGCGGCACAAGCAGGCGTGCGCCGGCTGCACCTGGTAGTCCATGTAGTTGCCGTAGCCCATGTGGTCGCACGTGCAGGCGCAGTTCTCGATGTGCTCCCGCAGTTCCAGCTCCACCTCCCACGGTGACTCCATGAGCGCGTCGAGGCGGTCGGGCGCGCGCCCCCGGGCCCCGGGCCGCGCCTGCCGCCCCCTACCCGCGCGGCGCGCTCCACCATACACGGCGGGGGTTAGTGCGGGCCCGTGTCGCTAATGCGGCCCTGGTAGTGACTTTGATACATTAAGGCCGTGGGATAGCTCGCCGCGGCGCGCGCGGCCTTTTGCGTGTAGGCGCGCATAGCGAGGCGGCCGCAGCCGGCAGGGGAATGCCGCGCGCTTGGAGCCCGGACAAGCACCGAGCCCGGGCGGAGCGGCCGCGCCGGCGCCCAGAGCTCCACGTGACAACGCTCCCCACACTTATCGCCACCGCTCCCCGCACTCCCCCCGCGCCTCCGTTAGGCCCTCTACGACGAACCTCCCGTCCGCCGCCGCGCCGGACAACATCTTTCAGATGCACAATCGTCAGCCATCAATTAACTCTTCGACATAGGTACATTAGTCGGAAATTGGATTCGAGATTACGAAGAAAATCCTTTTGTGTTCCCGTCGTTTGGAACATCATTAATAACAACAACTTGTGCCACGAGAATTATAATTGTGCTACTAATCAGATATTTATATAGAAAGAGACGTATCACGAAAACATCATTCAGTGATCATACTATTACGGTTCGTCCTTAGTCAGAGCGGCCTATGATTACAACCACAGATTACGACTTTGTGAGAAATAACGTTAATAATGTACTTTTTATTATCAACGAGTAATTGATATATGTCTCCTTTACAATTGTTTTAATAATAACTATTCTGATTTATCATTTGATGTTCATTATAATATTAATCAAGATCTTTATAAAACCGTTTTATTTTTATATCATGCTAGCTTTTCACCGGTGGCTTTGCTCGCGTGATCCCATGTTATAGATATTAATCTACCTCTTGAATTGCTCTATGTGTTGTTGAAAAGCGCATTAAATTATTTTAAATAGCTTAGCGTACAGACAGCGGAAAACGACTTTATTTTATACTATGCATAAATTATATTATTATGTATATACTTAGTAGTTTATTTTGATGTTGATTGTGTATGGGGTTGGTGAATACTCTATTAGCTATCTTATGTATTACTATGGCATCCCACAAGGTCTACGTTAATGATTTTAATTCGTATATTGCCTGGGGGTCAAATTATATCTTATGCAGATGATCGTAGATCGTGTGAAGAGATCTTTACTTCAGCACTAGTTAGTTTTAACATGGTAAATATATGACTCGATGGCGCAGTGGTTCCGAGTTCGAAGTTAAACAACTTTTGCAAGGGTCGGTCATAGGTTGGGTGATCTTAAATTTATTATCTTGAAATCCACTATGTTTACGCCTACGAATTCTTGAGCAACAATTTCTTTGGCTCATCGGCAGATTCACATTTATAAGCGCTTCGTACTCTTCACACAATACTACCTTCAGATATTTTTTTTTTACTTTCTCTTTCACAAGTATGGGCTACGAACTAGCTTCGTATTTTTATAAAGTTTTTTAATGTAGTAAACCTATGAAATACAAGCTGTAATCACATACGGAGTTTCATTTATGTCTAAAGAAGAGACACTCTAGACTTCGGAAGGTACATTAAGCCATTGGTCCCAGCTTCTTTTGTAATCGTGGTAGTGGGTTACGGCCCGTCATTCCTATTTGGGTACCATTCCATCAGCGGGGAAGCTCTGTGCCCAAAAGTGCGGACATTAATACACTGATGTCGATGATGAAATGTGACTGAATGTCAACAAAATCAATAATATGTTATATGTTATAATATGCAATGATGTATACTAATAGGAGACAATTAAAGCAAGGCTTTCTAGTCACTAGGACCTGTCCCAAGGAGCAAGATCAAAAGCATGGCCGGCTTACCTGATAAAACTTGCTGCGGAATATTATCATATCGGTTGGGTTAGGGCCCAAGGAGTAGATCTACTTCTTAATGTATTACAAATGTGATTTTAAAGTTAAATTAGGTTACTTTTCATAAAAACATTAATAATACCTGACTGATACATGAATAATTAATGAAATATTCTATTTATTGAATAATTAAGAAAAACTCGACCATGGGTATAACAAATTACTCATATCAAAATATTCACGCGCCATAAGCCACTCACAGCTGCCACCAAGCTTCAGACTGCGCAAAATTAAGTGGTTCGCTATGTGAAGCTGTAAATTACAAAAATTCATCCCATTTCTGTGAATAATAATTTATAGAAATGAAAATCTCTCGGTATTAATTAGAACCAGAAATAAATTTAAGTATCATTGATAGACTCATTGAGAAAAACTCAAATATGGGTAAACCCAAAGAAATTACTCGTGTCTAAGTTTTCACGCGCCATCAGATTGAACATAATTATATATAAATAGTATAAATAGTTGAGAAAATAATTTCTTTCTATTTCATTGGTGCAGGTATTCTATAGAAAAAAATAATAATAATCGAATAACATTATAAAACACATTATAGGGAACATAACTACAGGGTTGTTGCTACGTTCGTAGCAAACAAGCTACAACGTTACCGAGTGTTATGCTACGCTTCGTAGACGCTACGACGACTGCTGCCAGCGGAGTGTATTCATAAAATTCTTTAGTAGCGTAAAATAATACATATATCAAAAGAATATTGCATGATTATTTTTTTAACAATGATGATTATTAATAATTTATTTAGATTATTAATAATCATCATTGTTGTGATCAATATTATTTTGATATTTAGAAGATAAAATTATTTAGTGGATTCTCGTATATCAAAAAAATAGTGAAAGAAAATGGTGTCCCGTATCAAAATAAATAAAAGAATAAAAGTTAATGAGGGGTTCTCTATCATGAAACCAAAATTCAAATACATTAATGTAATTAATATTTGTCAAAGAATATATCTCATCTTTCTAATGCTGCATCTTATATTTTATTCAAACTTTAAGAAAAAAAACAAAATTACTATTTTATCTTAAAAGCGACTTATCCAAGAAACCGGCCAACTGAAAGTCGGACTCGGCACGAAATGTTCCGTGCAGAAAATGAGGAAATAAATCACGTTTTTGTAAGGGAGCCCCCTTAAATATTTATTTTTTCTGTTTTTTAGTATTATTTGTTATAGCGTCAACAGAAATACATCATCTGTGAAAATCTCAACTGTCTATCTCAGTTCATGAGATCAACACAGCAAAACAGGAAGAGCCAGGAACCCTAAAAACAAATCAAGTCTGGCGGAGGTTTCTGTAGATTATTAATCAAATGATTTTGTCTCATCATAAATTTCCCAATAATCTATACTAATAACAGAAAGAGGAAAGATTTGTGTGTTTGCAATGGATAGACTCCGAAACTATTGGATCGATTATAAAATTCTTACATCTACAGGAAGTTACGTAATACGCGGGGGACATAGCTATATAATTAAAACAGGTGGAATCGCGGGGAAACGGCTAGTTTGATACAAATCGGTTCACAATTGAAGATGAAATCGATAAACATACCTTCTTACATAAAAATATACCCATTGAACATTTTATATGTTCAACGGGTACCGCTATAATATCCTCCGATTTTGAATGAATGCAAAATATGAAGTCTTTTGTTTTTTTGGCTGATATAAACATGTCATCAAAATGTTTAGGCGATACTTCTTTGTTTTGTAGTAAAAAAGAAAATTACTGAATCGATTTCGATAAGATTTAAATGGAACCATTGCGGGCCATTAAACTGTATAATATAAAAAGAAATTTGAAAAACAATTCGCTTAAAAATCTAGATTTTGAAGTCGGTTAGTAAATTAAAGAAAATACACCTGTCTATTTATAAGCCAAAGTCAGTAGAAAATAAAAGCTTATAATGGAACTGTTGACTGTTGCAAAAGTATAGGCAAGTCATTTGCCACTCTACTCAACTTTGCCAGACTTAATAAAAAATCGCTCATAATAGTCACCAGTCCCAGGGCCATCCCATTTCGGGCACCTAGGGCTATTTTGATTTTTTTAAACATTATTAATACCAATATAGGATAAGCAATACGAGACAGTAGAATGCCATTAGTTTAACCAATTTCGAGGCTTTTACATTTTTATTAACTACTTCATGTTAATTTCAAAGTAGGCTTTCGATTTCATCCACGAAAGCTCATTTGCTTATACGGCATCAACTTTAAACAACCATAAAAAGTCTCTATATCTATATAGATATCAATAACATTTAACAAATACTTTATCACTGTAAAGTTGGTTGTTTTTCGGCTCCCCGCATTCACGTTCAATCACCGTCGTTTAGAAATGTTTGCAACGTCTGTCATTCATTTATATCGTATTGACATTGTTTTCTGTTGATGTTAAGGTTCGATTTGTTGGTCGGAATTGGGACGCAGGTGGCCTGGAGCAAGGAGGCTGTGTGCGCGCGCAGTGGTGGCAGCGCCTGTAAGGGCCGGACGGCAGTCGGCATGCGGCGCGCGCGGAGCGTTACTGGCCCGTTACGGCGGGCCCACCCCGCCTCGGGCGCCACCTGGAACGTCCAGGTACACGAGAACCCACTCACTCCTCCAATACAACCAAGACTATCCACTGTCCAAACAACAACTTACTTATTCAACAATCGCAACGACCTCACCAGACATCCGTGTCAAAAATTAAACTATGTAGTGTTTATGCTATTCGCGAATGTGATCATTGAAAGATAGCGACTCAACAGTTGGCTGAGAACTTGTTGCGCACGCAATCATATCAGAATACATTAAAACTATTGTCCACAAATGATTATTAAGCTATATTTAATAAGTCAATCAGTAACTCGGTTGTTATGTATAGCTATCGCAACTTTTACAATAGGACAAATGCACTCTATTGTAAAAGTTGCGATAGCTCTCACTTTATCAACTTCATTAAAATATAACAACAGATGTAAACAAACCTTTAATTTAAAGAATATGATCATAAAAGCCTACCTACCCAGTTGCGTAGGTAGTTTAAATTGAATTTAAACATTAATGAAAAGCTTAAGTTGTAAAGGTCAAATGTCAAAATAGAGCCTATTTAAATTTTGACTAATATTAGGTTACCGATAGCGTCAAATATATATTAATGTGATTTGTAATTGTTCTATTAAAAATCACGTAGTAATTTTCCTGATTATTACAGGTGGTAAAAGGCAAGATGAGCTCGCAGTGTTTATGGCACGCCTGCCGAGCTCTCTCCGCCGGCCTACTGTTGATGTTGTTAGGGGCAGCTATGGCAGTCATCGGTACGTTAAACTTGCTCATTTAGTAATATTAATAATTACGCAGAAAAAAAATATTGGGCTTAGAATTTTAGAAGCTAATCTTATTAAAAATGCATAACAAATAAAATGACGTCCTAGATAACACATAAACATTTATTTGTCAATTTGAAAATTATATATTATTTTGTATATTAAATATAAAACTAATTATACACATCAAAGACATGATTTGATGTCATTTAGTAATTCTGTTTACTAGAATTCTATCTGACCGATAAGGTTAGTTTGATGTTTGTTAAATAGTTTGGGTTTTAGCCCTCAGATATTTGTAAATAAAAACGGATATTATAATTAACTAGCTGACCCGACGAACTTAATATCGCCATATACCCGTTTTTTTATAACTTAAATATTTTAATAAATTTTCTCATATACAAACCTTGTCCTGACAATAAGGAACACATCAAAAAATAATAATTTAATTTGGTGCAGTCGTTTGGAAGTTATGCGCGTATATACATTTAACGATTCATTTATATATAAACATAAATTTGTTCATGAAAAATATACGCAAGCGTGTATAATATGCTGATACATTCTGTCTGAAGCATACGAGCAAAATTCTATAGACGTATTATGATGATAAATGGGCTTATAGAATTATATAACATTAATACATAAACGTTCTAGCTAACTCCGCAAATTTTGTACCTCCGATTTAATAAATATATTAAGTCACGTCGACGTCTCTTTGTAAACCTTACTTTCATTGTACAAAATAACATTACCATCTCTATGTATGGAATCAAGTCGAATAGAGTCAAAAGGCCATGACCCACCACCTAGGCCCAGTATGGATTGATGGTTGTTAAGTACTGCGGATGATTGGGACAAACGAGTTAACGTACCTTCCGAAATACGGAGGAGCACGACATAATAAACTTTTGGTCCCATCTTGAGACCGGCCCTTGTGAAAGTTACTCGACATCTCGCGCTAACCACTGCACTATCAATCTGCCCTTATAATAACATATCAATCACAAATGCTTCAATTTCAATTGTCTTTGTGTGAACCCGGACAACTCTCACAGCTTAATAAACTGCGGAGTCAAATCTAATAGATCAAAATTCATTAAAATATAAAGAACAGTGCTTGAGTTTATAAATTATGTATCATACGCTATTATTTCAAATGTATACCTTTTTGCACTAATGTCGCAAGCAACTAGTTTTTTGCTAGTTAATAGCTGTTCAATAGAATGGCTACACTTTTAATTGCCTAGTGCCATTCAATTACACGGCTCAACGACTCCATTTTCTAGATAAAGCGAAAATAGCAAAATATCTAAAGTAAACGTAAACATTATTGAGGTCAGGCGGAGGTTTTCTGTAGGTTATTAATTAAATGATGAACGCCCGACAATAAAATAATTTATAACGCTTTATTCAACCAAAGCATACCTAAGCTATTTTCAGAACCAACATCAGAGTAAATATATTTTTCTAATAATAAATGCTACAGCGCGTAGTAGGAAAACGGTGTAGCGAAATGTGTTATTGTGGGTGGGAGCGGGGAGTTCTCTTCCTGCAAGCGAGCGATTCCTGCCTTGACACTTCCGGCTGATGCCTCCGGTCCGCCCGTTAAACTGACGAGCTAGTTAAGAAACGAGTTCTGTTGCTGTCGAATGTTCAGTCAATATGGTCGATAAATGTGCTGATATAGTGTACTTGTACAGATTTATACTCGTGTAGTTACTTTTGTAAGTTTGAGGTCATTCAGCATAATTTACATTGCCATAAAAGATTTGTGGAAAATATTCCGGTTATGACACAATAAAATCTAATACTTGATTGTAATAGCACTTTCCATCAGGCATTGCAATTGAAATGGTTTCTTTTGAATTAATTTATGTGTCTAACAAATTACAATAATCTTTCACGTTAACAAACGTACTACTGATCCATAAGTCTTGTTTTCGCTTGAAACGATTTTAGAAAATAATTAACTATGCTACTATACAGCTATCTTGAAAATGATTATATCTAAAATCGGTCAAAATTTGATACATAATTGTTATTTAATATTATTTTGACACATGAGTGAGTAATTTGTAAGAAGTACTTATTTAATTTTATTATTTATATGTATATTTTCAGGATACTACGCAGACACTTTATCTGTGGCGCAGGAGATCCGCGGCAATGCTACAGTGTCAGTGAAAGATGAAGCGCGTGGATTTCACCTCAACAATCTTTCTTATGCAGGGCCTATTGTTATGGGCTTTGGAGGTAATATTATATCTACACTTATGTTGTAGAAGGAAGTCGGCGATACAGCTCGAACCCAACCTAACAACTAAGTGTTCTCTATAAAATTAAAATATTGATATTAAAAGAAAAAATTTGCAATAGCGCTGCAAGAATCAAAGAAAACTTTTGTTATGATTAAAATACTTTGATTTTAATTATATAGGTAACTAATAAGTTATTTTTTTTTACAAAATACGTTTTTCTCAACTAGTGCGATTATCAAGCTACTCAGTCGATAATGCAAGATAGGGGTCAAGCTTGGATAGTGTTTATTTTGTATTATTCTAAATTAGGCTTAAAGAACCAAGCATAATAAGTAAACTCCTTAAATATCTATTCAAATAGAAGTTATTTCACAAGCACGTTTAAATTAGTAAAATAACTATAACTGTTTTCTGAACAACAGTTTTCTATTGCATCGCATCACGAAAGATTATGCAATGTGTAGTTAATATCAAAACCCGGCATGTCCGAAAAAATGGGAAATCACAAAAATATGTTTTTGGTTATTGATACCACATTGATACCTTTAATTTTTATGATTTTCAGCGAGTAAGGATTTTCGTAGCGGGTTTTGATATAAATCCTCGATTTTGAGCGTTGTTTTAAGTAACATGAAGAAAATTTTATATCCTATCGATTGAAATTTATAGTTCAGTTTCGAATGTCTTCTGCCTTTTCTTTTATTAATGGTTTATCTGCGCATTTCGTACAATTCTGCCAATGTCAAGTGAATAACTTAATTTCTACATGTAAAATGAATGAAAGATGGCGATGATCCCCAGTTTCGAGTATGGGTGTAACTTATTGAGTTTGATATTTAACTACACAAATGACATCAAACAATGAGTTTTGACATCCATGAATTTAAAAGTGCGAAATAGTAAAGTATGATTCTTTTTATTTCCTTTTCAATTTTAAATTGTAAACATTTATGATTAGTATATGTAGAACCTAGGAACAAGACCAATAAAACGCAAACAAAAAAATCGGTGTCGGATGATACCAAGAAGTTTGGATATCTTTAAATCTACATATATTTACTGTTACTTAATATCACACCTCCGTATAAATAAATTTGTTTCTGTGTACCGCACCATAGAATTTCGTAATATTTTTATGAGATTTTACCCTGGAAAAAAATGAGTAATAAAACATAAAAATGAATATTAGTCTTTTTGAGGAATTATCTCTTAAATTTTGATTTAGGATTCATCGTAGTGGCGGCTTGTGTGATGACGTTCGAGGCTCGTGACAGCGCGGCTAAGGTGACACCCGCGCGCCCTCAAGCACTGCCCCGACCGGTACCACGACGGGGCCCGCCATGCGCCGCACCCGCTAGGCTCGATCAACTAGGTACTTAACTTACCATACCTGCCCTGCGATTCTCTAAAAATCCAGACCCGAGTCAAAAAAGTCCGAAAGTCTATTGATTCCATTCTATTGATTCCATTTTTTATATAAAATTACAAAACAAAACCGATTGAATATTATATTCTTTGTCATTTCGAAACTCATTTCACTTATGCCACAAAACGTTATTACCGTTTTAAGGTTGAGCGGATGCCGCTTTTTGAAGTTAATTTGGACACCTGAGTGAATTTGAATTCGAATTTTTACAGAATCTAGTAAGTAGTGCTCAACTAAATTCATCAATTTATTTTATTAATTATGGACAATGAAACGTTGTGCTTATTATAACTGTCATTACTATTGAAGAAACTATTTATTATCTTTGTCTTATTATTTTTTATAATTTGAATTGTATTGCAGTCAGTAATGGAATATAAATAAAACAATAATATAATTGTTAATCAATCAGCAACATTTTTAGCGCTTCATTTTGCTTAATAAATCATCATAAATAATTTCTATAGATTTTTGGGAATTTTTACTCTGTTTATAATATAATAACTCAATATATCTATGTCAGCACAACCAAATAGCCTTTCACCTGTTTATTCAAATAAAATTTATTTATCTAACTGACAAACATAATTTGCACACATAACTTACAACATTACCATTATATAACATAACAAAATATACAATGTAAACCTTTAACTCATAAATAAGGGTAAACCCGTATCTTAGGTATTAGTGATTCACAGATAGTTTAAATTCTAAGCTTGGTGCTCTAGCATAGGTGTATATAATATACAGTTTTTTATTACAATTTATAAGTATGCATAGATATATATTCCAGTTAAGTAGACACTAACCAAATATCATTTTTAAAGTTCTTCCATCTTCGATAATTGAGCGTTAAAACCATATCTTACATTATCTTTTGACCTCATATCTAGATAAGGAGTAAATACATCTGACGGTGTTAATTTTGTTATATAACTATGTACTTGAAGCCTAGAACTACCATGTAGCCCATGCAGTGCGGCATCTTACTGTAGGACATATCATAAGCCCCCGTCGGCGTCCTTCGGTCCTTAGTTCCTCAGCATGCACTAACTTGTGTCTATAAAACAACATTCCCAGGATGGAAAACTGCCTAACGGTATGGACTTTACAATCGGAATGCAATTGCACACTGAAGTATACACGTGGTCTGCCTTCAATGACTTTCAGCACAGCTCGCTGAGAGTGTTCCAGTTTCATAAACAAGCCTTTTTTTCACCTCCCCAAACGCACTGACTGTAGTACGCTATAGTACACTAAAAATAGTCTCAAGATCTGCGGAAAGGCGTAGATTTTTTTAAATCACCTATAGTCTGCCTGTGAAAATCTCTATGTGATATTGCCAGTCTAGTCTGTCGTCAAGATTCACACCTAAATATGTGAGAGTACTTACCATTCTCAATGGTTTAAATTCACATGAACTAGGTATGCAATCTTGGCAATCATGTATCTTTAGACTATTCAGTACTAATACGAGGGTCAAACTGAAAGTTCTTAGAACTGGCCACTTATAAACAATATAATAAAAAAATAATTCTAAAATTTGAAAATATAACTCTTTGCCAATATTACTGAGTATATATTTCATTCATTTGTCATTTGTTTTACGATTTGGCGGCAAATTGAAAATTGTCTGTGTCACGTCATCATGAATTTAACACGAGAAAATTTTCGTGCAATGATTTTTTATGACTTTCGATGTCATTTAAGTCAACAAGAAAGTTATGATAGACTACGATTGGCCTTTCACGATGAAGCCCCATCTCGTGCGACTGTTTACAACTGGTTTAATGAGTTTAAACGTGGTCGCACTAATCTCACTGATGATTTACGTGAGGGACGGCCTTCTACAGCGACGACTGAAGATAACATCTGTGTTGTGCGGCGTATGATAGAGACTGACAAAAGAGTGACCTATCAACAGATTCGGACAAGCTTAGGCATCGGTATGAGTCAAGTGCACAAAATCCTCCACGAACATTTAGCGGTCAGGAAGCTTTGCGCCCGGTGGATACCTCATAATTTGACTGAGGCTCAAAATCTCCATCGTGTGGATTGGTGTCGTAAAATGATTGAAAGATTTAACGGAGGTGACTCAAATGCTGTGTTCGACATACTAACAGGTGACGAAAGCTGGATTTACTGTTATGATCCTAAAACCAAAAGACAATCTGCTCAGTGGGTGTTTCCTTTCGAGGAGTTGCCAACTAAAGTGAAGAGAGATCGAAGTGCGGGAAAAAAAATGGTGGCCTCGTTCTTTGGAAGGATAGGTCATTTTGCAACAATTGTGTTAGAGGATCAAAAAACAGTTTCTGCAGAATGGTACACTACCAATTGTTTGCCACTTGTCTTGGAAAAAGTTCGAGAGAAACGACCTCGCAGTAGGATCCTCCTTCACCACGACAACGCCTCGTCGCACACCGCCAAGCGAACGATCGACTATTTGGCGACATCAAACGTTGAATTACTGGGTCACCCGCCGTATAGCCCCGACCTCGCGCCTTGTGATTTTTATTTATTTCCAAAAATTAAAGAAAAACTTAAAGGAAAGCGGTTTATGAATGCTGAAGAAGCGGTGGCTGCGTATCGCGATGCCATTGAAGAGACCCCTAAGGACGAGTGGGCAAAGTGCTTTTCCCAGTGGTTCCATCGCATGCAGCGGTGTATTGACGTGAATGGACAATATTTTGAAAAGATATAATAAAACTAATAACTGGCTAATGTAATCAGTTTTTGATTTTCTAAGAACTTTCAGTTTGACCCTCGTATAATTATGTTTTACATTTGTATTTAAAGTACCCACTCTAGTGGTTTTGTCACTGATAAACTCCGGAAATAGTAATCCGATTCTAATAGAATTTCACGAGTATTAGAAATTCAATCTGGAAGAAATTCTTCTGTCACCAGGTGTTTATCGTCTACCACATGTGCTGCCGCTGCCGCACGCTCTACCACTTGCGCCAGCGCACAGACACCGTCCGCAGTGGATAACTGGCAAAAGGTATATTTCTTTACTAATATTATAAAGAGGTAAAGTTTCTAACTTTATTCGTTTGCTTGATTGTTTGTTTATTTTTATGGGGTAATGCTGATAAGATCATAAAACCTCTTTCACCTACGGAAAGCTTCATCATACGCGGGTGATATAAATTGCTTAAAGAAATTTTGAATTGAAAACTTGTGACTCGTGTGAGACGTTTGGCTCGAGTGAATCGAAAACTCAAATATGCCTCTAGTAGTGCCGTTTTAAGTCTATTCGGCGCCGGGGTGCGGGGCACAGCCTGTGTTTTCTTTTACACACACTGCAGTATGAAAAAGGTCCTAGTCAACCGTGAAAACACAAAACACGTAATTTTTATAATTTATATATTTATTTCTCTAAAATACAAAAGTAAAATTAAACTTAAATCAAATTATACTTAAACTATTATCACTTAAACAATTCTCAGAAAACTATTTTCAGAAATAAACACTAGAAAATGTACTTACTTCTTTACAAAGTGAAGATTTTTCGATGAGCCTTCTAAAAACTATACTTTTATTTTAACATGATGCAAGAACAAAGAAAAGAATGAAACTAAGTTGGGAAATAAATAGAATTATAAGGTATTTACAATTAACAGTGATTGGAATGGCGAACAACACCAGCACTTCAACTTTCGTTTTTATATTATTATTTAATTGCTTAATATCTTTTTATTGTATATAAATACATCAAACAAACTCAATTTTTCTTGCTTTTGAATTAGCAAAGATTTTACTTAAATCATTAATTTTTATATAAATTTTGGATTCTAAACTTATCATAGCTAAGTTTGTCAGTCTGTCTTGGGTCATAGTTAACCGAAGATATTTTTTTATTAATTTTAATTTTGAAAATGATCGCTCCCCCTTAGCTACTGTGACAAGTAGTGTTAAATATATGCGTGGAGATGTTGAGATATTAGGAAATGAGGAGATTAAATTATTAGAATATATATAGCTTAAAATATCAGTGGGAGTACTTATTGATGCATTGGGTAAAAATATTGGCAACAATTCTAATTTATTATAAAAAAAACCTCCCCGTCAATTTCAAATCAGCTCTTAAATGTTAGTTTTCCTTGGAGCCGAGAACATTTAGATTTTTATCATGCATCTCCATTTCATTAACTCCAGCATTCAATGTTTTGGAAGAGCAATAAAACTGAATTGTTAATCTCTCATTTAATTTCGAGATAGCAGTGTCCAGTAGAAAAAAATAAAAACATACGTGCTAATTCGACGGTTCTCGAAAATGAAATGAGCTAACGAATTCAATGACCCACACTTACATAGGTGTTACACGCCGTGCTTAAATTTAAATGAACTTACACCTAATTGTATTATTTTAATTGTGTGATTTAGAGATCATTTTTTTAAGTGAGGCTATGTCAAAGGGAGCAATTACTTGCCTATGACAGACGCATAGGTACCGCGGCGCGCCGCTCCGCCGCGCGCCCATTACAAATGAACTTACAATTTATTGCTTAGAGAGCATTTTGCTTCAAGTGCTGGCGACCGAGCGGCAATATGTCAAAGGTCTTTGGATTAGAGATATTTCCGCGCAAGTGTTATTTTAAATAAAATTGTTATTTGTGTAGTAATAAGAGTCATTTTAGGTTGTGCATTATGAGAGATATGACAAGCGCCGCGCGCCCATTACAAATGAACTTACACTTTATTGCTTAGAGAGCATTTTGCTTCAAGTGCTGGCGACCGAGCGGCAATATGTCAAAGGTCTTTGGATTAGAGATATTTCCGCGCGCGTGTTATTTTAAATAAAATTGTTATTTGTGTAGTAATAAGAGTCATTTTAGGTTGTGCATTATGAGAGATATGACAAGCGCCGAAAGCGTAATAAAAGTAAAACAATAATTACTGTTGATGACAATTTTTTATATTTAATTTTTCACATACGTATTTATCGTAACAAGTATATGAGATTGTGCAATAACGTTAAGTTCCATGAAATATCTAAATATTCAGCGCTTGACAGGCGCCTCGCACCCCTTGCCCTCCCGGGTAAAGACGGCCCTGCCTCTAGTGAGTTAGTAAAATTACTCGAGTCATAAAATCGTATCGCATCATTAATTCGGAGATTCACTAAGATAAATTTTAAAACTAAAAACATGAATTATTTTTATTTAAAATAAAATTAAATTATAGAAATAATATGGAGAGAATAGGATGGACTTAGTGAATCACTATTGCTTTTACTTGAGCTATTACCTCGCTTACCAACGCATTACTAGATTTTGGCTACATATTATCATTACAAGTAAATCAATGAATATATTTATCTTAATCGTATTATAAAATAAAATAACTTAGTTTAAGTATTTCAATCCGGAAAATATATTCCTGTCTAACAAAAATCGTTTTGCCCATGCTACAAACTGAGCTGATCCTGCTTTAATACATTTACCATTTCAGAAATCATACCACTACCTCAATTCATCGAGTATTAATAAAATACACTGTTCCTTAACTTTAGATAGCACAAAAAATAGAACAGTACAGAAGGTTCCTATTTTAAACTTATGTTTATCAAATAAAGATTCCACGCTACCTTTTTTTATAAATTCCATAACATTAACAAGAGTACAGCTTTAGTAACGAACTCATGAGGTTGACTCAAACACAACGTGTAGTACCTATTACAAGGAAAATTTGTATTCAAGCTTTTCTATACTTCCATCATGAGTATATTTAATACTAAATTGCCATATAAGCATTTGGGGGTTGCGTTTGTACTCTATTCTAGGCAATGTAACTTCTGTGTGATTCTATTTTGTGGCGTCGGGTATGTGAGTGTGTATGGTACAGAGGTGGCGATGAGCGGGTGAAAAGCCGAGCCCGGTTCGGGTCAGCGCCTGACCTACGCGCTGGTAACACGCGCGCTGTGTCCGCAAGTGCGCTGCGACGCCCACTGAGGCGATACGCGCTCTCCGTCGATGAGCCGCCACACTCCGCTGTTAGGTAACACTCAACCATTGTCACCGTATATTCATCTTCATTGCGTATTCTTCCTCAGCTTATGTAAAATTAATAATATAGAACTTTTAAATATATATATATTTTTTTTATAGTAATTTTTCAGATTTCTATAAACTGTACGCTCGAAATTCTTTGCAATATTATAATTTTACTAGTGCCAGCGCCGCCGAATCAGAATGTGGTTCGCAGTCGTCGTTGGCCTTAGATCTGCACGGCAGCGGTTCGTGCGCTGGTGTCACGTTGCGTGTATGCGATAATACGCGCCGTCGCCCGCTAGCAAGGCAACAGAGACTACGTGATGACACTATACGACGTTAGTTTGTAGCATTTAAATTACTGAGTCACGATAACTACAAAATATTGATTTACCAGTTAATTTATTTTTTCAGCCGTCGTCAAAGAAAATGTAAATAATGCAGTTGACTTAACATCAAGGTAATAATAGCGAAGAATGCGCTTAACTATATTTTTATACATATTGTTTATTATGTTTTTATACATATATGTATTTTTTCAGCTCCAATAACGATGAGAGTATTAACGATGGCGTGGAAATGGTGCGGCTATCGTGTGAAGAGGGCGAAAGAGAAATGCAGGCAGCCAGTGCGCTACCCGTGGCAGCTGTTTCGCCACCGCCCTCCCCGCGCCCAATCCCTCCTATATCCCCTCAATGTTCGGACACTTGCATACTCATAGAAGAATCCACATCGGAAGCCACAGAAGTCCCGCTTGACGATGTCTGAGAATGATGCGTCTCGGTAATCCGAGACAATACCTGTTGATCAATTTTGTATCAATTATACAAATTTTTAATTACCCTTTATTATATATACCGACGTGAGTCATCACGGAAGGTCTTTTCGATGTGTCTTCGAAAAACGACGACGATTATCTATTTTTTAGACCACTGTTGTAAAATAATCGACATAAGGTAATTTATGAATTGGAACAATGTGTCATGGTATTCGCTGAATTTTATACTTGAATTAGGAAGTGATGTACGTAAGACGGTGGAAATTGTATGTATAGATTCAGTATTTAACAATCTATACAAATATTCCATTATTACCTGAATATTTATACAAATAAATTTTCACATATTATTTCCATCTGCTCTAGAGTTGGGTATAGGAAATAACAATGAATAAAAATAATTTCAATTTACGCTTGCAAACGCTTTTCATATTTATTTAGAGGACAGCCTATCTATCCAAAATACAATATTTTAACAATAGTTTAACTCGCACAGATTTGCTATTAGATGGAATTGATTTTTTATGATAGAAATGTGTATATTCAGAAAAAAATATAATTAATTTAAAATGTTAATTCTTAACAGTTTTATGAGATGTAGGTATATTTACATTAATTATAACTAATGTAAACATGAATAAACCCTTAAACTAAATTTTTTTGAGGTACCTTCTATATAAATATTATTTGCAATAACCTTCGATTGTTGCCTCCCACGCTTGCGTTTTTGACGTAGCGACTATCGCTGCATTGATATTTACCCCGCTCCGCGGTTCCTTTCGGTTTCTACACATTATGTAAATAGTGTGGGATAAGTAACACTAACTGCCAAACACTACCCATGTATGTCAATTTAGTATGAAACATATACGTTTAGACGGCTGTTAACGTGTAAAGAATATTTCTCTGCTCACTCGCTCCGCTACCGCGCAGCACCTCTCCGCCGCGGGCCGCTGCCCTGTGCTGTTCTAGTGTGGTATACTCATCAAGCAGATACACCCCGGCGCAGATCTGTTTTATATATCTAGTATGGTAGTGGCTGTACCTTCCACTCGTCGAAAAAATGTGCGAGAACTAGTAAAATAATAATAAAAAAAACACGTTTAAATTTTATTGATTTTTTGTTTAGTAATATATAAAATTTTAATGTCAACAAGAATCATAGGAAAGCAATAAGCATGATTTTTTTAATTTTCCGTCATAAAATACGTCATCTAAATATTTTTGTTGTGGCAGCGCGATTCCATTATTATTTGTTTTAAAAACAGGTTAACTAACTTTCGATATTTCACCACCTCAGACCCGTAAACTTTAAAAAAATATTTTGATGATAATTGGTCTACAATTCTTTCGATGAACATACATTTAAAAACATACAAACATACCCCTCGAACATAGAACCTCTTCTACCTTTCAATTTTAAGTTTAAAAACCTAGCACCTACCCGATCGTGACTCCATGTGGCGTGGATCAGATATAATTTACGCATATTCTAAACTGACAAAAAACCTAAATTACCCAATTGGTATTAACCTTTAATAACAAATAAGATCGTAATATAGCATTATTATAATGGTAATTTAATTTAATGTTTTAACCCATTATTAAATACTTATAAAAGACTGATAAAAACGAATTTCGTAAAATGGCGGATAATTTTATTACGGTATAAACCATAAATAATTAACACTTAATTATACGAATATAATCTCGAAATAACATACTAAAAATAAACAGAATCATTGCCATTAAATTACAATATTTTATTAATCTAATGGCTCGGTTAAACTGGTCGCTGACTTTGCTGGATAGTAGCAAGTGATTTCTGTATCTCACGTAAAAGGAAATAAAGGTTTTATTTCATTGTTAAAACTACATGACGTGACAGCGCTGCGCTCGAATTTAAGGATATTTTTAACAGAATAGTGTACATAAAAAACCAGAGCAACTGAATTATAAACAGATAAACCGAAAATACAACGACACTGAACATTTATAACACAGGTGATATATCTTGCTTTCCGGCCAGTCGCCAACACCGACCGGTCTGAATCTATAAGCCATAAAAAATAAAAAAATAATCAGTTCATAAATTTCGATATTGTGGGTGTAACTGTAAATTATTCATTTGTAAGAAAACATAGATTACTTTTCAGGGATAACGAAGAACAGCGGTGTCTAGAAACAGTTTGCTACTTATAATTAATAACCTACTGTACCCTGGAGATCAGTGCCGGATTACGACCACTTAAGGCCCTTAGTAATACACTCAGGTGCATAACATTCCAAAATATAGTCAGCAACACACCTGACTATACAAATCTGTAAAAATTCTTTACTTGATTTTTAACCAAAATATTTTGACAGTAGAGATTAAGATCAACTCCGGAAATTTAACATATTGTGGTAATCTCACATAACATATATACCTAAAACTAATATAGATATTTTTTTTAATATTATATGTTTGATCTTTGCAAGCTGAGAATATGAAGAGATACTTACGTGGAGTAATAAACGTGCAGATTTTCAAACAACTTTGTGCTATCAATTTTTTTTTGTTACCGTTTTTGGTGCTCCCGAGAGGTAATGCCCTAAGCAATTGCTAATAGGCTAATCCAGCACTGCCAGAAGTTAACGACTGATTTTATCATATCTATAATTTTTTTCTAAATATTATTTTTTTATAAATAACAACAAAATTATACCTTGTGCTACAAATATGGTAACCCAACACAGATGCATTTATTTAGAAGCCATTTATAATACTACACCGTAGAAAAAATGCACTGATTAAAACCTTAACCTATTTCACATATACCTATTACAATACACAATAATACTAGTAAAATAAAAAAATCGATTGGACAAATAAAATAATAAGTGGTTTATAGTTAATAAAACGTAAGTAACAGAAAAAGATAATATATATCTCTCTATAATTGTATATTATACCATTACATGTTTATTTACTCTATTAGCGTTATCAATATGTAGATGATGACTTTTATTTATTACCAAATTGTATAAGAAAAAATGTGATATGAGTCAAAATGACGAGTTTGATTTGATAATGCACATGTCTAAGTAGCAACCTAAACTAAAATAGACTAACGGCCAGTTTCTAAATTGAGAAAAGTACAAAATCTCTACTGATTATTCTCAATAACTTATTTTTTTACGGTTCACATGGCAAAATGTCCTTGTTTTAACAAACTGCTATCAACTGATCATTAAAAAAATTAAAATCAGAAACGAAAACCTGTTTAAGTGACGTTAATGACGGTTTAAGTACGACTTGAGACGTGCTTAAATTTAAATTCTCAATTCAGAAATCGGGTGTAAGTTTTTCGTAACTGAATGTTGTTTAAATTAAGTATAGAATGTAAGTAGATACTTTGACAATACTTACTTCGTCTTGTTTTTTGGGAAGATTCTAAAAAATCACCGACATTAATATAATTATAATATTTGTAAAATATAATGTAGAGTTAAAATATATCCTTATACAGGATTGGATTTTGCGAGCAACCGAAATTGTCGATTGCCTGTCTGAATTTTCACAAAACTGTTTATTATTTATTTGTATATATATTACTGAATAGGTTTTTACCTATTTATTATATCACTAAAACAAGGGTGATAAACAATGCCTCGATAACAATATGAACAATTCATAAATATTTTCCTGGCATTAATTAAGGAAAAAATATTTGAAATTATATTTTTAACATTTTATTGTTCATTAAATGTTCATACTTACTATCACGTACAAGAAGGGTTAGAAAGCTTCGTATTTTGAACCCAAATTCTCTATCGAAACACCTGTCCATTATTTGCTGTACAATTTTATCAATAAAAGTAAATAAAAATGAGACTTCCAATACACAGGCGAAAAATCTAAAGACATGAAAGAAATATAATTACCATCATGATCATGTACTAAAACTAAATGAAAGGTATACATGTCGGGAGTAGATCTTTTCTACCAATAAATTTTCATCCAAGAGAATTCTTATAAAGCAAATGAATTTAATTTTAGTTTTCTATAAATCCAATTACCTAGTTTAAAATTATAAATAACTAACATTCGGTCAGTTGCACAAACGTCCATTGAGGTTTAATGACGCCTTTAAACTCTAATGAATGTCAAATATGTATGGGTAATGTCACGTCGAAGTAATGAAAATTTAAATGAACGTTTGTGCAACTGGCTGATTGTGAGATGATATTTTGGTAATAAGAATTGTATACTATATTTATTATTATTCATACACAGTAGCCGACAATAAATATTTCTCAACTACAACTTATGGAAAGATGCAAGAGAAAAACACATTAATTTATTTACTCTTCCCTGTTTCACTAAACATTAACTGTTTAAAAATTCTACCACGAGAATAGAACTGCTATGTTTGGATGAAATTCCTTCTTGTTTAATAAAATAATTTAGTCCTCGGTAGAGTAACTCGATGGCGTAGTGAATAATCGCCGCGATCCACAGTCGTTTTGTTAAGCAATTTTCACAACGGTCGGTCAAGGGGTGGGTGACCAAATAATTATTATCTCGAGCTATTCCGTACTTCCAAAGGCACGTTAAGCCGTTGGACGCGACTACATTTGCAGTCGTTAATACCCAATCCGGATTGAGCCAGCGTGGAGGTTCATGGCCCAATCTCGTTAACCATCCACATGGAAGGCCTGAGACGTAAAAAGGCTGATGATGATAATGAGATTGAGGTATAAAGATACCTGAACAATCGAAGCATTCTCTTTCTAAAAGTTGACGTGTAATATTTATTATCGGGTACTGTAATAATATTATACTACACTTATTGGACAGTTCTTTCGATCTTGCTTCAAGGTGTAATTATTATTGTATGAAAATCCATTATTTCCTGTTATATTTGCATTCGTTTGAATGGAGAGAAAAAATATTGAAACAGTTTTTAATATTAAAAAATGTAACTCACTTTTTTCCCTTTCACGTCTAAAATGAGCTTGCATTGTGATTTATTATATTTGTTTCTCATAAGTGTAGTATCTATATTATACATATCCGTCGAGGGTAAATATAGTTAACTTTCAGACCCTCCAGATCCACGTTGCGTCGGGCCTAAATTGTGTACTCGTTGTGTAATATCTTACCCCTCTTGGTGAATAACTATTATTATATAAAATTGTAAAGAGTCAATAATTATATTTCAGTTAGTGACTCAAGTCGTCTGACTGATATGCCAATTATATTAAACACTTTTATATACACTTGAGTATGTATAATAATATATACAAAGTCTTGAATATGTAGTACAGTATATATTAGTAACGTGAGCTAATTTATTGTAAATTATTGATTGTGTACTCATTCCAAATGGTTGTTGTGATGTCTATTAAAATTGTTAATTACGATTTCTTTTTATTTACTTAACTTCCAGCCACTCGCAAATTAGAATATGAAGTACTCGCACGCTGCTTTCAAGATATTGCCATGTCTGAGGTTGATTGCCAATTGGTGGTTGTTCTTTTGAACTCAAAAGAATTCATCGATAGAATTAATAAAACATTTTTATAGCTATGGCTACAGTTATAGCGATAGAGTTAGGTGGCCGCACCCCTACTCCTAATTTCACTAATATATTTACCAAATACGTAAACTTAAAGGAAATATTTGAACTTTGATAAAAAATTTCACACTCTCATCAAGGTCCACAAATGATTATCGCATACGAATGCTCTCGATTAAGATTTCAAATGAAGTATTACTTCTACGAGAAACAATGGAGTATCCGTTAATTAAGAACAAGATTTAGAAATGAAAAGTCTATCAGTCTTGTATGGTTTCGTATAATCGTACGTAACATAGCTGCAGCGATTTTATAGAATAAAACCGGGCTTTTATAACAAATCTGCACACGAGTATGTTTTGTAATCCTATCAAAGGTGTCCGGCTGGATAATCCCCGGAATCTCGTTAGGGCGCGAATGATATAAAACAGGACGGTGTGATGCATACATCGGCAGTTAGTCAGTCGGATGGGCTGTGGCCGCTACCGAGGACTGCTCAATACCTGGCCCATTATCCACAAACATGTATAACAGAACTGATGACTACTTATATGGCGCCCACTTCGCACCACTAAGGTAAGACACAATAGGATACTCTTCTATCGCACGTAGATTGGTATTTTCGATAATGTCGTATTAACAATAACTTCATATCTGAGATAGGTCTAGTATTATACTATGACTCAATTGAAATAATTTTGTATGATGTTATGTATGTAATTATCGAAGATTTGGTAAATATTTGGCCTTTGATTAAAATATAATTATATAGAAAAAACCACTTATAAAAGACATCAACGCACATCAAATTATTAAAAAGCTATATTTTAATTTCTGTATTCTCAACTACTTGTTAGTATGAAATCTATGTAGATATTATAATAAGTTAGCGAATATAACATTTCTATATTTAGACATTTATCTTTTATTCAATTTGAAGAGAAGAAACACAGAAATCTTGCTCGTTGATGTAATAAGCTGTCCTTTACACGAATGAGCTCAAGACGTTTAGTATGGAAAATTACAAAGTGGCTGCAACACCTGCAGTACCTGAAACTCATTTAAGGAAGTCGTAGGACAAGCCAGATGAGAGAATTGAGTACGGATATCAATAAAAAAGTGCTAATTTTATTGTACATCCATTAACTCACATTATAAATTTATCTTTTATACATTCCTTCAGTGCTAAAACGCTTTCTAATTAAACCGTTACATAAAAAAGGAACTTTCAACGAACTAAGTAATTATAATTACCTATAAAACTTATCTCAATCTTCTCAAAAACATTTGAAAAAGTTATGTATGACAAAGTTTACGCTTTTGTCTTATCTCAAAATATACTAAAAGATGATTATGATGATTAGGATTTCGAAAAAACAGAAGTACAGCTCTAGCATGGTTTATTCTCATCAAACATTTTACGCATATCCTTGAAGTTAAACTAAATACTTTGGAAGTCTTGGACATAAGCAAAGCATTTGATTTTGTATTACATGAGTTGCTCTTAAACAAATTAGAATAATATAGATAGGTAATGCTCTGACCTGGATAAAAAGCTATCTAAGTAACCGCGCACAGTGTGTCGAAGTCTCTATGATGCAAGGTTATTTCAGAAAATCTTATACTTCTAAATATAGCTTAAATCATTATGACGTACCCCAAGGTAATGTACTTGGACCAATTTTATTTTTACTATACTACAATGATTTGCCTAGTTTCACTGACCAAAAGTGTATCCTATTTGTTGATGAAATGACACTTATTACCAAAGATAAAGATTATGATGATATTGAACGAGTAGCTAACACCGAATTCAGAAAAGTCACACTATGGCTGAAGAAAAATAACCTAAAAATTAACATAAATAAATCGAAATATTTACAATTTAAAACTACAAATACTAAAACTGGAACAATTGACATAATGCATAACGATGAGAAACTATTAGAAATAGACGAAACAAATTTCTTAGATAGACAGATTTTGTAATTGGAAGGCAAATATAGAATACGATTCGACAAGTGGCATCTAAATAATCCGCTCTAATAGCATATCATAATTACGTATCATCTGTGTTGCGGTATGGTATAGTGATATGGATGATTCGGTGAATGCAATTCGTGCTTTTAAAATACAAAATAAATGCATACGGTCAATCTGTGTTGCAGGCTACTTGGACTCATGTAAGCCTTTGTTTAAAGTATTAAATGTATTATTACCACTTCTATTTCTATACATTTTTGAAAAAAGTATAAATAATGTTATTAAACTTAAAACCTATTTATTTAAATATTTAATAGATTTTTTTTTTCAATTATTAAATCCTTACAAGATAAATGTCATTCTTAATAATATAAAACAATTATCTTGTATGTATGTATCTAACATGACTATTATTTGACGTTCGCTGTTTTTAATATAATTTTCTTTTGTGACATTTAAAAAAATTTACTTTTTTTTATATAAAATCAGAGCAGTTATTGTATTTTGATTTAAATATTTGCACATCGACTTGACAATAAAATATGCTGGTTTTAAATTCTTAAACTATCGTGTAACAATATTTTCGCAAATAAAGATTGTTATATCTATAACATTATAAACATAAACGTTTAATGATATGGCAAACCACACCTAGACATATAATTAATGTAGAGTGTTCAATACAAAATAAAAAAATACAAAAAAAAAACATTTTGATTTTTTTTCATTTCAAGATCTGGTGGTGCGGGAAGTGTGGAGATGCTAGCAGACGGGTTGACCGGCGAGGATCTGGCGATGATACCGGAACACTGGCTCACATATCCAGCGCCACCAGCCAGCGCTCACACCGCTCTAGCATTGCTTTACGTGTTCTTCACCGCCGCCGCTTTACTCGGAAATGGACTAGTTATTTTTATATTTTCCACGTTAGTATCTTTATTTATTTATATCAATCATCATCATAATGAGCCTATTAAGTTCCCATTCCCATAAAAATTTGGTCACCCATCCTATGACCGGCCCTTGCGAAAGTTTAACTCCACATCGCTAACCGAAAGCACTAACCTCTATGTATACAAGCCAGTTAATGAGATGAACAGATATAGATGACAGATTATTGCCCAAAATTTCATCAGCTGCCCTTTATTTCGTTCCCTCTGCAGGAGCTCAGGCCTTCCTTATGGATAGTTAAGGAGCATGGGCCATGTCCCTCCTCGCTGGCCCAATACGGATTGGCAGCTAGTAACGACTACAAATGCAGCCGGGACCAATGGCTTAACGTGCCTTCCGAACGACGGAGTAGCTCGAGATAGTAATTTTTTGGTCACCCATCCTGTGACCGATCCTTGTGAAAGTTGTTTAATGACAACGATCGCGTGCCGCACCGCATATCCACTACGCCACCAAGCTACTCTGCTTTGCGCAAAATTTAACTTAAACATTATTATAAAGAAATTACTGACGATTCGTTTATTTTATTTTATTCTGTTTTAATTTATTATAATTAATTTTAACACACATTTCAACTACCTATTAAGATGCTTAATCTTATCTAGAGAACCGTTTTGACCTAATTAAGTAGAGGAAACTGTTTTTTTTCTTTCTATCCGATAAATGAACACTATTTTTGGTATTCAAATGAAATAACGTTTCCATTAATCTTTTAGAAATATTCACTGAACTTAGATGTAACTTGCAATATGTATGTTATGAAGGCAAAAAAATATTTGTGTATTAAATCTCATGTAGATTGTAGCTAATAGGATGAACTAAAATAATCACACTTATTTTTTCAGGACCAAATCTTTAAGAACGTCAAGTAACCTTCTCATCTTACAATTAGCAATTTTGGACTTCATTATGATGGCCAAAGCACCTATATTTATTTACAACAGCGCGATGCGAGGTTTCGCAACAGGAACACTTGGTTGCAAAATATTTTCTCTTATGGGAGCGTATAGTGGAATTGGAGCGAGTATGACTAATGCCTGCATTGCATACGACAGGTATCCAGATATTCATCTGTATTTATGGGCATACCCCGATTCTGGGAGAAGGGGGCATTTAAGGTTCTCGATCGTCAATTTTTAACGTCCACAGTAGATAATAGTAAAGAAGGTATAAAAAAGCCAGGTGTCATAGCTACCCTTACGTGACCCCAACCCCTCGATACGCGCGTTATTAAAAAACACATCACAATGTGCATAATGTTGCATGATTATAAAACTGCCTTCAGTTCAGGCACAAACTTTTCTATTCAATGTATGTACCTGTGGAAAATTGTATTTATCTGTTTGCTTTTTAAAAGTTAACCAATCTTAACTATTTTCAGACATTCAACAATCACACGACCATTGGATGGTCGTCTTTCAAAAGGAAAAGCTCTACTTATGATAGCTTTCGTTTGGATATACGCTACACCGTGGGCTCTATTGCCTCTCTTTGAAGTATGGGGAAGATTTGTTCCTGGTAACTATAATAAAATAATATAATAACTAAATATTAGAAATCCCCAGCTAAATTGAGAATGATTTTTTAACTCAAGTAACTCAAATTCTGTGAACTGAGTGTAAAAACCAATGAAAGACATTCGATATCGGTATTTAACATGAGGGAATGTATGAATGAATATATTTTATTACCCAGTAAAACATAAACATGAAAATCCATATAATTACAAACAATGCAAGAGGCGGCCTTATTGTTATCCTACTTTGAAGTTATCAAAGAGCAAATAAATTAATACCTATTTCTAATTGTCACTACAGCGTTCTTTTACCCTTTACAAAATCGAAAAATTTTATGTTCGACGGCAATGTATGACTTTTTATAAACTACAAATAAAGTTTGATATTGATTTTATGAAAATATCAGTAGTGCTTTGGTGTTCTAAAAACGTCCTCGATCTCGATGTTGAGTACTGCATTGTTATAGCATATAGGTTCAATCAAATATAACCTACTTCAAAAGGTAATCATGGTGTTTTTTTCATTTAAACTCTAAGCTATGACAGCGCCATGCTCAAAGTCGCGTTCAGTAGAGGACAGCATCTAGCATTTACGTTTGTTTTTGTTACAGAGGGGTATTTGACATCGTGCACTTTCGATTATTTAACTAATACATTTGACACTAAGCTATTTGTAGGCTGTATATTTTTCTGCAGCTATGTTATACCGATGTCTTTTATCATTTACTTCTACAGTGGCATTGTTAAACAAGTTTTCGCTCACGAAGCTGCATTAAGGTAACAATATTTTTTCATTTTTCATTTTATTTAACTATAAAAAAGTTGAATCTAAATGGGTAATGTACTATAACTGAAAAGCTCTAACCATCATATTGATTTTTGGTTTTTCTATATAAGAACAATAAAAATGTGAAAATAATTCACAAATACTTACCAAAAAAATACTTGTTCCTTTAAAATATTTTTTCTACTCATGATGAAAAATGGCAATCGATGTTTTCACTCATAAATTGCTATCATTGTTTAATTACTGGTTTTATTAATATTTTTATGCAGTCGAAAATTATTTTGTGTTCTTTCGTGGACATTGATGTGAGTCGTAGATTAGATATTGATAATATTTCTAATTTTTTTTTAAATATTTAAGTACCCAAATCCTTATCGTTTATCATAATATATCTAGCATAGACAAAAATAAAGAGTGTCTTGTTAAAGTTAATTGTATAACTATTAAAGTAGGTACCTACTTAATTGAGTTGTCTAATAACAGGGAGCAAGCGAAGAAAATGAACGTGGAATCGCTTAGATCTAACCAAGTTGCTGGCCAACAGTCAGCCGAAATTCGAATAGCAAAAGCAGCTCTTACCGTATGCTTTTTGTTTGTCGCCTCTTGGACACCCTATGGGGTCATGTCACTAATAGGTGCTTTTGGAAATCAGGATCTTCTCACGCCTGGGGTAATTATCAAAGTATAAGAGCCAGTTTTAATATTAACTTCGAGTACTTCTTCTGTTTTTCATCGGTTTGAAAAATAAGTTCGAAGACTGAAATCATGAAGAATCACGAATCAAATAAATATTCTCATATGAATTAGATGAGATACCTTCTATTGTACATACATTACTAAACCTTATGTGTTGTTTAATGTGGCGTTGCCGGTCATAAACATACCCTGCTTTTTGCTTCTCTGCTATTGGACATATATAGTTTCATCTGGAGAACCAGATCGATGGAAATCAATAGATTGTGACTTGATTCGGTGAAAATTGGACCAACGCATAACCTTTTCACGTTAGAGTTTTCATAAAAATTCGATCACAATTGATGAAATTTGGCTAGTGATATGCAGACGAACATAATGTAGAACTTATCCGATTTTTCAGTCACGTTAAAATAAGTTCATAGATTCAAGTTTACATTGCATAGATACAAAGTTTTTAAAATATTCTTAGGTAACAATGATTCCTGCTGTAACGTGCAAAGCTGTCGCCTGCATAGATCCATGGGTATACGCAATCAGCCATCCTAAATACAGGTAAGTGAATATGACCTATTATTAATACAAATTGTTGTCAACAAATGTTTCTTTGATTAGAGCCTGCTGTATTAGAGACTATAATCTGCACCCTCAATTTTGTCTCTGTGGAAAAAAAATCTCATGAAAAGTACCAAAATATGAAAAACGCTACCCTCGGTTATTTATCTATAGTAATATTATAAAAAGAAAAATTTTATTGTTTGCATATAGCTCGGAACAATACAGTTGAATTTAAACCATGGCAGCTTCAAAAAATTCATCAAAATTCAAAAGTTATGCCCCTAATCTCCAAAAATAGTGGAGATTAAATTTAAAAATATTAAAGAAAATATAAACAAATAAACTTATAAGAAGTCTATCTACATATATATTTAAAAGGCAAACCTGATTGACTCATATATCAACGCACAGCCAAAACGACAGTACCCAGAAACTTGAAATTTGATACAGGGATTCCTTTCATGAAATCATTCAGGTGAAAATAAAATTATTTTTTTTAGTTCAGTTAGTTCGTAGTTCTCAAGTGAGCCCTAAGAAAGATTTTCAACTCCAAAGAGAGTGAAATAGAAGTGAAGTTTATATGGATCACGGGGGCGAAACCGCTGGCGGAAAGCTAGTGGTTTATAAAACTAAATAGTTTTCTGGAACCCTTTGCAGTTATTATTTTATGGATAATTACATAATAACGTCACTTTAATATATTAATTCAGTAGCCCCAGTTGACTACCCTATTTTAAATACATATTATACCTACGATTCACATATTTAATAACCTATCCTTATTCATAGTAACAAACTATGCTTTAATGTTGATTGGTGTTAAATTTATACTGAACTTATCTGTACACAATACAGGGATGATGCCTGGGTAAATAAAATCTATTTTTCCGTCAGTCAGGTAATAGAAAAATATTATATACGTATTTTTTTACTTCAATTTAACAAGAAAAAGTTTAGATATTAGACGTCACAGTTTTGTAGAAGATGTACATAAGCGAGACGTAATGTGACATTTCAAGTCAATCTATCTCCGTTATTTAATGATTACGCAAAAAATAATAAATACATGTGTAATATTTTTTATTTTTCAAATATGGACAAACAAAAAAAAAAATCATAATCCCTAAATATTATTTATGCTGTTGATATATAGAGATCTGCTTTATATATTTAGTGCCCTGTAGTTCTATATCTATGCGATTTGAATTCAATGAATGGTATTCACCAATGAATGTGAATAAATTTCCGCAGGCAGGAGTTACAACGGCGTATGCCGTGGCTACAGATCGACGAGCCCGATGACACAGCATCAACGGCCACAACCAACACAGTCAGCGCTCCGCCCCCGGCCACCGCTTAACTTAATGTCATATAACATCATAAAATACAATGCTATGAATATTTTGTACATGCTCAAACTGGGATTTCACTACACATTTATTATTTCTTAGATGTGTAAATTAGTGTATAAGTATTCTTCCAAACAACGACGACGTAAGCTAACAAAATGGACTAAGATAATATTTAACTGCTATTAACTATGTATATTAAATAAATAAATGATATTCAATCCGGATAGATTTTTTTATAATTCACTCTCGAGTCCTTATATATATTTACAAATACAAAATACTTACAGTAGAGCGCAAGAGAATGCGAAGTTACTCAAGCGTCGTAAAAGTTACTCTACATTTAATCTGTGCTATTTGATTTTGCAGAAGAAAAAGGTTAGGATATGGTGTAAATCTTTTTACCGATAGATATAGCGTGACCGCCTAACCCTCTAGCTATAGGATACAACATCTTAGCGAATGTAATGGCGATCTTTCATTTTATTTTACTACTTGGCAATATCTCTTGGTGGATAGATTTTGAAAAAATGTTGGAAACACTGCTGTCGTATTCATAATCATCCTTCTTTATCATTCATTCTTCATTATTAAAATACATGTCAATGTATTAAAAAGGAACGAAGTAGCTCTGTGACATCGTGAAAATCCTATGGCTAGAGTTATACCTATAGCTAGGCGGAGTTAAGCGATCGCTCTGCTGATAGAGGACCGCTAGTTTCGTTTAATCAATTTGGGATTTTTAACATATGTTTGATTCCATGTTTATTTATAAATAACTCTTATCAAGTAAATTTTAGCTGCCCACAAATATTGAAAGTAGCTATTAAGTATGTATCTCGGAATTTGAGTTTATGAAAAGTTATCATGGCATTCACACATTAATCGACGAATAAGGAAACTTAAATGGATATTCAAATCATTAAGACATGTTTTGTCTCATGTACTTTTAAATAAAATCTATTCGGCCTTAGTTCAATCTATAATAGCTAATTGCATTCCTATGTGGGGAGGAGCTACAAAATGTAAAATGCTGGAACTGGAACTCTTTAGGGCTAAAAGGTCACTCTTAGAGATAATGTTTTGAGATTCCCACCTGTGAACCGTTATTGGTTATGTAATCTGCCATCAATGAGACCTTATACATATTCAAAATCATAATTATTTATTCAGTCTAGGCTTTTACAAGCACTTGTGAAAGTCGAAAGCTACGCCATCATTGAAATTTTCTTGTACCGAAAAGAACCAGCAAGAAACTCGGCAAGGACTGCTTTTTTCTCCCTGTTTTATTTCATACAGAGCATGCATACAGTGCTAAAACTACATAAAACCTGGCCCTATGATCCCACTTAGATCTCTAAAAGAAGGAAAAATATCGTATCGCATCAACTAACGATTCTCACAGAATTCGCCAGACGATATTACCCCAGTCAAAGCATTTCTATTTATAATGAGCAAGTATTTCAAATAAAGAATGCACTAAAACGCACCTCCACTAGATGGCGACTCTAGTAAAAGTTGATTTTTGAAGATAGTAATTTCCGTTCCTTTTAACTAAAATATTAAAAAACTGAAATTTGCACAGTTCGAAACTTACGAGTATATATCAAAACAAATACGAAAAAGTACAAATAGAATATGAGTTGTTTATTGAGTTTTAAAAACTAATTTACTTTTAAACATGAAAGAAAACCGAAAGGGTTGTCATGAATAAATCATGATCGTACAGTAGCGACATCTAGTTTGATTTCGGGAACTAATGTGTTTTTTTTAAATATTTCCTCATTTCTAGGGCCACACTAACAAGAGACACGCCCGCCCGTTCAATCGGTCTTTTAAAATTGGGCAGTGTATTAAACCTTCCTATTAATTAAGAAAAATAAATAGTTATCGACATATCGATACCTAACATCACAGAAACCTGTCATTGAGGCTACAGACCCTAGAGCCAAATTAACCCGACATTATACCGAAGACATCCCGGACGTCAGTCTATACGAGATTAGTGTGGCTCTCAAACAGCTCAAGAACAACAAGGCGACGGGAGATGACGGAGTCACAGCGGAGCTTCTAAAAGCGGGTGGACTACCAGTCCGGAAAGCGCTTCAGAAGCTATTTAACTCCGTCATACTCGAGGGCAAGACGCCAGAAGCATGGCACAGAGGGTTGGTGGTGCTTTTCTTGAAAAGGGGCGTCAGGACCCAATTGAAGAATTACAGACCCATCACGCTTCTGAGTCATGTGTATAAACTGTTTTCGAGAGTCATCACGAATGGTCTCGCACGTAGATTTGACGACTTCTAGCCTCCTGAACAAGCCGGTTTCCGAAAAGGTTACAGTACCATAGACTACATTCATACGCTGCGACAGATTTTACAGAAGTCCGAGGAGTATAATCTGCCACTGTGCTTGGCGTTTGTGGACTATGAGAAAGCCTTTGACTCTGTCGAGATCTGGGCCGTGCTTAGGTCACTCCAGAGGTGCCAAATAGACTATCAATACATCCAAGTGCTGCAGTCGCTGTATGAAAACGCCACCATGTCAGTTCGGCTCCAGGACCAAAACTCGAAATCAATACGACTTCAGCGTGGAGTGAAACAGGGCGATGTTATATCGCCGAAACTGTTCACTGCCGCACTGGAGGACGTGTTTAAGCTTTTGGACTGGAGAGGACTTGGCATCAATATAAACGGCGAGTACATGACGCACCTTCGTTTCGCTGATGATATCTTAGTCATGGCTGAGACCATAGAAGATCTAGGCACAATGCTCGAAGACCTCTGTAGAGTTTCCCAGCAAGTAGATCTTAAAATGAACACGGAGAAGACAACAATAATGTCAAACTCCCATGTCGTACCCACTCCAGTGAATGTTGGAGGCTCTACACTGGAAGCCGTCGACGAGTATGTTTACCTGGGGCAAATAGTCCGATTAGGTAAGTCTTCCAGACGATCGAATTTACATTCACTATATTTCCGAAGGTAATGACTACAATAGTATTCTTCGTTATTGCTGTGATTGCCCCAATGGCGAACGTACAGTGGGATGCTGTTCTCATGTAGCAGCTATTATTTATTATCTATCATATGGACGATATTTGTCCAAAATCGTACGTCCTGATGAGGTCCTAACTAAGTTATTTGCGACTCAAAGTGTTCCGATTGTAATTAATTACAACAGTGACGATGATTAATATTTTGTTTCTTGTATTTTGATAGACACGAAAAAGTAATAATAATAAGTATTGAACACTGGCTGTTTTTTTTTTTCATTTCTTTTTTAACTATTATCCCATCTCTTAAGACTAGTTACTTATATTTTAAAACAAGCTGAAGTGAAATTTCGAAAAAAAAACAATGATGTAATGTGAAAACCTTATAATACAGGGGTATACCATAGGACAGAAATCACATATAATTTTTTTTCGTTGTGTTGCACCAACTTTTTTTTCACACAATTTTTATGGGTAATAGAGCACACAAAGGAGCATAACATATATTAATTTCGTGATTGTAAGTCACAGAGAACTCAGAAAAAAAACATGATTTTTTTTATTTTTATTTTTTTAATGTAATTTTTTATTCTAAAAATTATAAAAAAATATATGTGATATACTCTGTAATGTAACCTAACACCTCGCGTTAGTTTCACTTCTTTATCTTAATTAGCTTCAGAGATATATCACATTCAGTAATAGTCAAACATACGGATATTTTGCTCTCTATCTCAAGGTCAAAGCGGAAGTCGGTCGCGAAAAGTACATAAATCGTGTTTGAACATCAAGTCTATATTAAAACATAAGTTTCAATATCGATTCCCATTTGGGGGCCGACTCGTCATACGTATCCGGCTAAACCCTTTATCGATAAAGTAATTACTATGAGGAACAGTGGCGTAGCTACTAAGGGGCTAGGCGGGGCAGTGCCCCGGGGCCCTCAAGCTCAGGGGGCCCTCGAATCTTTACTAGAAAATTTCAATCGAACTCAACTTTTGAAAATTTCTCGCATTTTCAAAATAAGTATGACAAGTGACAACCTGAGTTTAATCATGGCAACTCAGTTGTGAGAAATTCCAAAGTTATAAAAAGGGAATTCCCCTAAATTATTTGTGTCGGTTGATAGAGTTATTAATGTTTTCATCAATTTGTCGGATATTAATATCTGCATATTATTATTTATCGATATGCGTTTTTGTGATTCGCGATTGTGAACTTCGGGTCAAGATTTTTTTCGAGAATGGTTAAAAAGTTAATGTATCAGGAGTAAGAAAGCGTATGTCACGTATGGGATTCCCCAACGACGTCTTGTATCGTATCATTACGTTTCGCTTTCTTTTTACTTGTAACGTTGTCAGTGAACAGTGAGTACAGTCTTACATAAATATTGCATAAATAAATTAGACAATTAATATTATGGACAAAAAAAAAAGAAAACCCAGTGGCGCATTTAAACGCAAACAACGCCAAGAAAGTGAAGAAAGTAAACAAAAATTGCCCAAAATTGACAAGTTTTTTAGTCAGCCTTCTGCAAGTACTTCTGGACAAAATATTTCTATTGATATTTTTTGTAAATAGCTTGCATGGCGATAGGTTAAATAACAGTAAGCTGGTGCAACGTATGTATGAATAAATAAATATATAATAAACCCTTGAATCATTTCTGTTTCGTTTTATTGCCCAATACCTACACTAAGTATAAAAATAATTGTAATTGATGTTGTTAGTGTTTAATAGTTTTATTTCCTGCCCATGCACGAAAAAGAGTTGATGATAAAGTTGCTTAGCATTTTTAAAGTATTTGTATATTTAATGATTTTACTTCAAAAAACCTTACCAGTTTTGATAGCAGTGGGCCCAATTTTTAATTTGCCCCAGGGCCCTAGGTTACCTAGCTACGCCACTGATGAGGAAGTATTTATAAAAAAAACATTAGTTCCCGAAATCGAACTAGATGTCGCTACGGTACGTCCTTGATTTCTCCATGACAAACTTTCCGATTTTCTTTCAAGTTTAATAATAAATTAGTTTTCAAAACTCAATAAACAACTCATATTCTATTTGTATTGTATTGATATCTAAGTTTCGAAAGTGTTTTTTTTTTTAACTTTTTCATTCCTTATGACATAAGCTATCTGCCATGAAAGTCCTGTCAAATTTTTCTGAGCGTTTCAGAGTTTAGCCGTAACAAACAGACACAATAAATGTGAAAAATATTATTTTAGTATAGGTATCCCAGATAGCATGCTAACTTGGAGCAAGTTTGATTTTTTTATTCTAAATTGCTGCGTCAAATATTTGAGGCAAAGTTTGTGACAATGTCGCTGCAATATTGTTATGTTAAATATGAAGTTTCAAGTTTGCGACAATATTGTTTGAATATTGTTATGACAAATATACTTATTTGTAACACACCCATCATCTTCATAGGTACCCGAATAGTTATAAGTCTGCAATCTAGATGGCGCTGTTCATTTAATGCATCGCGGTATCAGTTATAGATTGTAGATTGATAGATTGTTTACAGTGGCGTAGCTAGGTTATGGGGCAAATAAAAAAATTAGGCCCACTGCTATCAAAACTGGTAAGGTTTTTTGAAGTAAAATCATTAGATATACAAATACTTTAAAAATGCTAAACAACTTTATCATCAGCTCTTTTTCGTGCATAGGTAGGTAAAAAAACTATTAAACACTAACAACATAAATAACAATTCAAAAGATTCAAGTATTTATTATATATTTATTTAATCATAGATACGTTGCACCAGTTTACTGTTATTTAACCTATCGCCATGCAAGCTATTTACAAAAATTATCAATAGAAATATTTGATCCAGAAGTACTTTCAGAAGGATGACTAAAAAACTTGTCAATTTTGGGCAATTTTTGTTTACTTTCTCCTCTTTCTTGGCGTTGTTTGCGTTTAAATACACCACCGGGTTTCTTTTTGTTTGTCCATAATATTAGTTTTCTAATTTATTTATGCAATATTTATGTAAGATTGTACCCAAGAAGGTACTCACTGTTCACTGACAACGTTACAAGTAAAAGAAAAGCGAAACGTGAATGAATGAAAATGATACGATACAAGGCGTCGTTGGGGAATCCCCGGCAAACACTTTATCGCCGTCAGTGTTACTACATTTGACGGTTTGACGGACTACAATCAAATAAAATTGAACTTTTGTATGGACCAGTACAAAAAATTTATTGACATACGATTACTTACTCCTGATACAATAACTTTTTAACCATTCTCGAAAAAAAATCTTGACTCGAAGTTCACAATCGCGAATCACATAAACGCATATCGATAAATAATAATATGCAGATATTGATTTCCAACAAATTGATGAAAACATTAATAACACTGTCAACCCACACAAATAATTTACGGGAATTCCCTTTTTACCCGACTGCGCGACGCAAAGGAGGGTACCTAATTATAACTTTGGAATTATGTACTCACAACTGAGTTTCCATTATTAAACTCGAGTTGTCACATGTCATTTTTATTTTGAAGAAGGGAGAAATTTTCAAAAGTTGAGTTAGATTGAGATTTTCTGGTAAAGATTCGAGGGCCCCCTGAGCTTGAGGGCCCCGGGGCTCTGCCCCGCCTAGTCCCTTAGTAGCTACGCCACTGCCCATAGTCAACATAACCGGTTCCAGCTTTTAACCCTGGGAGCACAAGTCGAGATCCGGTCAGCCCTGTCATTCTGTAAAAATTCGAATTGAAATTCACTCGGGTGTCCGAATTCACTTCAAAAATGGTATCCCCTCAACCATGAATTGGTATAAACATTTCGTGGTATAAGTGAAATGAGTTTCGAAACGACATAGGAATAGAATATCTCAGACACAATCATCAATTTGTTTTGTTTTGTATTAAAAAAAAAATGGAATCAATAGAATTCAACACTAAATGATGTCAATTCGGACACATGAGTGAATTGAATTTCGGGTTCGGATTTTTACAGAATCGCCAGCTGAACGTAATGTCATTACAATGTCACTACTGTCAAATATTTCAAATAACCTTGTAGTAGTTTTTTAAATGGAAATAGGGTTATTTTAGAGATCGGCCAAAGTAATGGTTAACAAGCTATTAATATCCTTCTCTAAGTTTATTTATTTTCGCAATGCTAATTCAAGATTTTTTTCCAGAGATGCGATAGGGTGTATTCAGTCAAGAAGTGTAAATACAAGCAGAATAATGTTTAGGTCTTCTGTATTAAATCTTCAAGAAGCGTCCAAAGAGAAAGTTCAAGAATTTCTTGATTCTTTTGATACGGTTTTAACAGATTGCGATGGTAATATTTTGTAAAATACTATTTTATATTAATTGATTATTTCGCTTTTAGGTGCTTACCTCATTGCTTGTCCCTATGCGATAAAATTTATTTCTTAACTGTAATTCAATGCCCAATATTGGTATTTACAGGTGTGCTATGGATTGAAAATAATGCTATTCCTGGTTCAGCAGACACTATCAATTATTTCCGGAAATTGGGCAAGAAGATATTTTATGTAACAAATAACTCTACCAAAATACGAAGTGATTTTGCTGCTAAAGCACAACAACTAGGTTTCATTGCTAGTCCGGTAATGATACATAAGATTAGAAATTTAATTTGAATATTTATTTGCCTTTGCTTATTAAGAAATTGTCAAATTACAGGAAGAAATTCTTTCAACTGCATATCTGGTTGCTCATTACCTTAAAGGTATTGGTTTTACAAAAAAGGTTTATTTACTGGGCTCAAATGGAATTGGAGAAGAACTAAAGGCAGTTGGGATTCATCATATAGGTATAGGAGTGAGTATTACATTATATACTATAGTATTTGCAAAAAAATATGTTGCTTATTACTTATAACTATAGATGTGCTGAATAGTAGTTTCACCAAATAGCCAAATAGTATTTGGTTTAGCTTTTAACAACTGGATATTCAGCCCAATTGTTCAATTTACCAATTATTTGATATGGATATTATTTATATATAATAGGAAAGGAGCTTTTGTTTGTTCCTCGACTTAGTTCTTTCCAATAATCTATACTCGTAAAGAGGAAAGATTTGATTGTTTTTTTGTTTGTATTGAATGCTCTGAAACTATTGGACTGATTAGAAAAGCTACAGGAAGCTACATAATACTCGGAGGACATAGACTATAATTAACACAGGCAAAGTCACTGGGAAACAGCTAGTTTCATAGAAAAAAGAAGAAATTAATGAACATATTTACTTGCATAAAAATATACATGCCTTATTACAATACTTTTTTTAAACGACATCCTAGTGGTATAAAAAAAGTGTTTTGAAAATCAGTCAACTATTTGCAGAATTCTGATCATTAAATTTTTTGAAAATATTTATTTTGTTTTTTCGCCTCAAAATATTTTAATATGTTATGACTTTTACTCAAGTAATTACTTCTCTCGTCTATAGATATGAGCATAAGACTATTTTTTTATAAATGCTTGCATAGAATAAAAGATGGACTTAAGAAATTTATTATGCAAGAATAAAAAACAAACCATGCAAAAAATGATTATATTAATTTGTTTGTTAAATATATTTTGAATTCTTGATATACTTGCTTTCCAGCCTGACCCAGTCAAACCAGATTTTAAATCTATGCCACCATCTGCCTTGGATCCTGAAGTTGGTGCTGTTGTTGTTGGCTTTGATGAGCATGTCAGCTATCCAAAGTTCATGAAAGCAGCCTCATATCTCTCTTCCGAAGAGTGCCTATTTGTTGCAACAAACACAGATGAGAGGTTCCCTAAGTCGGACTCGATTGTTGTCCCTGGAACAGGTACACTGGTGAGAGCAGTTGAAACTTGTTCGGAAAGAAAAGCACTAGTGTTGGGAAAGCCACATGAGTATGTAAGAAAGTTTCTTGAGTCTTGTGGACTTAATCCTGCTAGGACACTTATGATTGGTGATAGGTAAATATTTATGACTAATATCTTTATTCATAGTATTATGTTTATGTCGCAGTTAAGTGGTATAATCAGTATATCATTGGGCGCCTAGCTCTTTATTTTGAATGGCGCCATTCAATTAACGCGTCGACTTTCGATCAGATGAGTACGCAACAATCTACAATACGGCTGAACAAAGATCAGCCAACTAATTAACTATCAATTCACCTTGAATACAGAAATTAGGAGGAGCAGAAGTATAACGAAATAAATATCGTAATGGGTCAATAATCGATACAGGCACAAGACTCGTCAAAAAGATAATAACAAACTGTTTATTCGCGACTGAGTTTTAATTAGGCGTGGGTGTTGAATTAACCGTATTTTAGACGGTTTATTGGGTATCAACTGATAGTTTACGGTCTACTGATAGACTGGTTTATGCGTGAACGTAAGTTACAAGCATTACTTGAACAGTCCACCGCGGCACGAATGGTCTGTGAGGCTACTATTTCTCTCTGTTTTTCGCGACCGACTGCCTGCTGTCTGTTTCGTCGCTTGATTACGTTAAAATATTTTTAAAATAAACTTTAACGTAAGGGTATAGAGATGCTCTTACGTTACTTATCTGGGATAAACATTTAAATTTTGGAATTAAACTGACAAATCAGTGTTTGATTCTAATGCAGATGGTGTAGGTGAAGGTTAAATAAACAAGTAGCATCCTACTTGTTGATTTACTTCAATTGTGTTATCATTTGAATAAAGGCCTATAACTATTTCAATTTGTAGAATAGATATTTATAAATAAACAATTCTGAATTTAACATAATAAGAATGAAAAAAGTATGAAAGGAAGTTTATTTTCACCATTTACAAATTATTGAATCGTTGTCGGGTCGACGACAACAAAGTTGTACCAGTCATTCTGAAAATATCATAAAATAAGGTCTGTTATCCTTTAAGAGTTTGTATCAAGCCAGCAGAGTTAAGCGTGAATCTCCCTCACCAAGGGCGTTTATTTATTCTACAGCCAGTATAATTATATATATTATTTCGCTGCAATAAAATATCCTGTCCCTATCGCCTTACCCTATCAGAATAACAGCGCCCTTCGTATCATTCTGCCCATCTATGAACGAAACAGGAGCCCCTGTTTGCTGAGATGGGGGTCTCTTACGCTCGCATTTTTCTACGCTTTAGCTACTATTCATACTTAGCTCAATAATCAACTTGCCCCCCCCCCATCCCCATCCCACCTGGCGACGCCCCTATCCCTCACTGACTTATTCCAAACATTATACAAGTTGTATAATATTTCAGATGCAATACGGACATCGAGCTTGGCGTCCGTTGTGGATTCCAGACTCTACTGGTCCTCACTGGTGTCACTTCTAAAAATGACTTGGAGAAAATACGCAACGAGAAAAAACCCCCATTACCCGATGTAGTCTTGCCCAAATTAGGAGATCTACTCTCTCTAGTACCCTCATAGTGCAATATTATTAATGATATCATTATAGGATCTACGAAAATCAATAGGTCAATTCAATAATTGTGATAATTATAAGTTGTTTAATTAGTAGTTAAATAGCATTTTAAGAGATCGTGTGGAATGCTTGCAATGCAAAGCTTGTTTGCCGAAACGGGTGAAAATTATTTGCACAAATTGATTAATAATTAAGTCTTTTGGAGGTGTATGAAATCGTATTTGAATACGTAATGAGGAAGTTTTTTAAGAAAAAAAATAAAGCACTACAAAGCACTTCACTAGATGGCGACTCTACCAAAAATTTATTTTCGCAGGAAACAATGGACCAAAGATAGTCTTTTAACTTACTTATTAAAAAACTGAAAATCGCTAATTTCGAAACTTATATACCAATTCAAATATGAAAAAGTACAAATAGAATGAATTGTTTATTGAGTTTTGAAAATTAATTTACTTTTATACGTGAAAGAAAACTGGACGGGTTGTCATGGAGAAATCAAGAAGTACCGTAGCGCCATCTAGTTTGATTTCGGTTATTGATTTTTTTTAAATACTTCCTCATTGTTTTCAATTGCGATCTAATTAGTACTCAAGTGTGTGGTTAAGATCACCTGTTATTTCATTCACAGTTCACATGTTATAAAGAAAAAACACATTTTGTAAATGCATTGTAAAATAGACTTTAAAGGTGGAAAATTTAATGTCTCATGTTAACCTTTAATTTGCACGGTTTTTGTCGATCCTGAATCAAAGGAACGAAAAACAACAGCTGTCTCTAAAATAAACTGTTTCCAATTTACATTTGACTTTGTTTTGACGGAATCAAAGAAATATAAATTTACATCAGAAAAAAGTTATTAGATATTTACAGAATTGAAAACTAGGACAGGCTAGTTGACAGGATTTAAATTATGTTTAGCCTATTTTGTGCAACTTACATTATGTATTTTATTTGAAATAGAACAGATAAAAAGTACCTGCCTAGTTTTTGCAAATTATGAACACACATTATTATATTTGATTAATTTTGCATTCACAACGCTATACTTAAAAATATTCTTAATGAAAAATGCTTGATAAATCCACTTTGTCCCTGGTACTCTGAGATGGGACTTGAACCCATACCCTTTCGCAATCCGGGCAACTGTTCTAACCACTGAGGTACTTATGACCTAACAGGAATGACGTATCTTTCAAGCACTTTTTACTTTTTCGCTACTACAGAGCGTATTTTCATCAATGTTCAGGCAATCCACTCAAACAGCCGAAATAAATGTTTTACTAATATTTAAACTTCCGATAAAGATGATTTTGTGTTCTAATAATTATATTTGATTATTTTTGCATTCACAATATTATACTGGAAAATCCACTTTGTCCCTGGCACTGGCACTTCGAGATGGTTCGAGTCCCATCTCGAAGTGCACCTTTTCATTTGAATTAAAATTTAAAGTTGTGTTGTTGGCTATTTATTTTGTTTTAAGATTTTTATTTACAAAAAGAACCAGTATTGTTAATTTATTTTTGCTTCTGATAATTTTACGAAATGTTTTATCCCTATGCATAATACCAAACTTAGTTGTATAAGTAAAATATTTGCAAATATATTTATCAATTGCCTATTTATTATAAAAAACACATGGAATAAAAGTTTGTTCAATTGAGTTTTAGAATAAGATCTTTCAAACGTACATAATTAGTGAAAGCAATCTCGCGAGATTGGGACTCGGGCGAGATCTCGCGAGTTTATGAATATCAATACCGCGAGATTAACAAAATATACCAATCGATTTAAAGGCTTATTCAGTTTACTTCACACGTGTTTATTACGAATAATTAGCTTCTTAAGTAGCTTCTTAAGAAGCTATTTCCAAAAAAAGATTCTTTGGTCATTTTGTCCTTAAGGAGCACAAAATGTCCAAAGAATCTTTGCTATTCGTTTTATTATGATGCTAGCCAGATAGCTGCCTATTGAGAAGACCCCTTCGAAAACACAAGTACTGTAAAAGTGTAAAACTTCGCCTTTTAACCCCCCCAGACTTGCATAAGAACGCTGCCGCACTTCGATTAAATAGGTTTTATGCTCGATTGCAACCTCGTTAAACTAGCGAGATCTCGAACATTTTTCGACTGAGATTAATCTCGCTAAAAAGGCCGAGACAATATAATATTATAAACAATTTTTTTTTTTTTATCAAGGCGATTGTACTGTGGAAATGCATTCCGAACAAACCTTCGTGGTTTTTAGTATGCACTAATATAAATTTTAACGTTAAATTGTAATTATGATACATTTTAAATAAATTACACAGTCGAGTCTCAAGAGTCTTGTGAACATCCAGTTATTGTGTGTGTACTGTTTCTAAATTCTCCCAATTTTGTTTTATATGTTTACTTTATTTAAATAATAAACGCTTTGTATAAAATATGTAAATATGTAAATTATGTAACTCGTGTCAGATCTGATCAATAGTGTTAATAGTTTTTTTTAATCAAGATCCATTAATAAATGTTAGTCTCAATGATTCCATGCTTTTTCTCTTATTTCGTTTTATTATTTAACAATTCTATGTTATATTAATCGGAAAATACTTGAAACAAATGCGACACCTAAGATACATTTAGATAATATAATAAATAACCGTAGTGGAGTGGTTTTGTTTTGGTTAAAAACGAAATTTATCCTTTTTTAAGTACATATTACTTTTGAAAAGTCCAGGCTTGACTTTACATAGTACAGTCAAGAGTACGTCAGATTATACAAAACTGTCAAATTTCTCCATTTTATTTTAAACCTCAATATTTTGAGTGTAGAGTTCGTAATCGATGAAGGAAATTTAATATATTGTGCTAGCCTGACGTGTAGCCGTGCAATGATCTATCTAAAAAAGTGGAACTCGATATTGAACAGAGTAAATATACGATGCCTACGCTTCCTCATGTTGGAAATAGAACTGGGGCTTTTTCATAACCTCTTGACGTAATGTATTAGGAAATGTTACCCAAAGTTTAGCGCAGAGGGCAGCATCAGCACGTAAATAAAATGACATCATGTAATATTTTATTGCAATACATAATTTGTAAAAAGGTATGAAATGGGTTAGGATGATAGCTTTCTTATTATCTATATATCAAAACCTGTATCTGGCATCCTACAACCGAGAATAAGTAATACGGTTTTATGTTTCGTTAAGAGTTAAATTATATAGGTTGTCGTAGGTAAGTTATAAAAGTTCAGATTAAGCTTATAGGTCATACTAAAAATATCACTTGAAAACGTTATAATTCTTAATAAAATAGGTATAATAGTGACTTACATATTTGAGAGTGATTTTTACTAGATTAAAGAAAATCTTTGACGAAATCGAATCTGGGACCTCGGGGATAGCCACGTTTTAAAATCGGCGTGGGAGCCACTATTGTGTGCGAGTAATTATTGTATACTTTTATATGTTTACTGTTTGTACTTATATGTTGGGAATTCGTCAGTCGTCAAAGATAATTCTACACGTACATGGGTCCTTAAGGAAATATTATTTACATTTAAACGACATTTCAATATTTTTCTGCTTACATATTAAATCCAAACTAGCCGGGTGTGGGTAGTTATGCTAGCTTTTAAGCTTTAGATTTCCATAATGCAAAGACTCGCTCCTTAGGTCTTAGACCTGAGCAGCAGTATTTATCAATAGATAAATAATTTCTTTGCATCTTTGCAATAGAAATTAGCTGGACTTCTGTCTAGCCTAGTGGATATTAACGGAGTACACGCATGCGCACGCGGAACCGCCGCTAGCAGTGGGCACGGCAAGTCGCGCGCCGCATCTCCGCTTGTCAACAATATTTTGCGAGTTCGTTTCGCGCCTCCCGACTCTAACCAGCCAGTATCAGTGCAACTGCGAGAGCGCGCCGCCGATAGACGCTCCGCCCGCGTTCTATGTGATTACACCCAGGAACAATACAGGAAATTGTAAGTAGACTATGAAAACGCATCTGTATTTTTGTAGTGTATTTAGAAGCTGGAAAATAAATACTTACATATAGCGTGGCCTAAATTTGTTACAATTTTTATATCAGGTATTTATTTAATTTTGTTTTAGCTGTTTATCAAGTTTTTAAAATATATTCGATGAGATTAATCTATATATAACAGTGAGCTATCATTTTCTTTTCTTTTTCTTTCAACAAACGATACAAGTTTTCGATGCCAAAATTTGTCTGCCGAAAACAAAGAAGTGAGGGTGAAATTCCGCCCCCATGGCTCGCCCTCCGACACTCCCTTACGGTATTCATAAATTGAGCGTTTTATTACGACAGTATCAAAAGTGCGCTTAAAATTATGAATAGATAAATTGTTAAGAAATGATCAAAATTGAGGAACATTCGATTGTTTATATTTTTCACAAACCAACATTATGTTAGCTATATTCTGGTCACTTTGATTAGATTTTATGATTCCGAAATTAACAAAGATTTTTTGTATTAATAATTTTGTTACCAATACGATTATAATACAATATCGATGTCCCGGAGATAAAACATTATCTCGAGTGTAGCATATTCCAATATCATCGGTAATTATCTGATAAATTTTGATTACAGTAGTTGCATTAACCTTCATTTTGTTTACTAATTGATGAACTACAGGTTGCGTAAAATAATGGCAAAATTAAAATATCCAAAAATAAGACAAAAGTTACGCATTTAGTACTAGTGTTATTCGGGACAACAGAAAAATGGCCCAACCATACCTACTTACCGTGAAGAAGGCATCATTATTTAAATTAAACATTGGGTATTTGCATTGTATGTTTACAATTATTATTCTGAAAACAGTACTCGAAATAGATAAGTATAAAAAATATTAATTTTATTAATGTGTACGTTTTAAATTCTACTTGCATCGCTATTGCAGTCCATTAATAGTGATAATTAATAAGTGACAGAAATATGGCACATAACTTTGGTCATCACCAGCCCTTTTACATCCCCACTGCAGGGGCTCAGGCCTTCCTTATGGATGGTTAAGGAGGATGTGGCATGACCCTCCACGCTGGCCCAATGCGGATTGGAGGGTATTAACGACTGCAGATGCAGCCAGGACCAACGGCTTAACGTGCCTTCCGAAGCACGGAGTGGCTCGTATAATAATTTTTATGGTCACCTATCCCGTGACCGACCCTTGCGAAAGTTGCTTAACGACTACGATCGCGGGCCGCGGCGCATATCCACTACGCCACCGAGCTACTCACATCATTTAGGTCACGTTATGGTTACCCGGCGGGATCCTTGCCTGATTCCGCATTTTCACTCCGTAGTGAGTTTTACC